TTTTTTTTTTTTTTTTGAGACAGAGTCTCACTATGTCACCCTCGGTAGCGTGCCACAGCATCACAGCTTACAGCAACCTCCAACTCTTGGGCTTAAGTGATTCTCTTGCCTCAGCCTCCCCAAGTAGCTGGTAATACAGGAGCCTGCCACAACTCCCGGCTATTTTTTTGTTGTAGTTGTTGTAGTTGTCATTGTTGTTTAGCAGGCCTGGGCCGGGTTCGAACCCGCCACCCTGGCGTATGTGGCTGGCGCCCTAACCACTTAACTACTGGCGCCAAACCTTTTCAATTTCTTAAAAAGCTGAAAAAGTAGCATATAAGAAGGAGAAAACAAACAAACAAACAGAACTTAACAAGCTCCTAAGACTGAAATGTTACCATGTGCTTTACTGGCTAGCTTTGACAGTTTTGAATTTATGGAGAATTTTCCTCCCCCACAACCCTGTGGCCCTCTGAAGGCCCAAATCTGCCCAGTGTTTTGGGTTCAGTTGGGAACACTGCTTCCTTCTTTGAACAGTTTAGTAATTCCCACCCAGGTCTGCCACTGGTGTAAGAGGCGTCCCTGTAACCTCCTAATCTCCTAATGAACTGTCCTATTTGGCCTGCACTCATTTTTTGTGGGTTTCTATATTTTGCGACCAAAAAAAAAAAAAGGCTCTAAAGAATCACATTTTCTATTCAAGAGGCGGAGGTGAGGATGAGGACTCCTGGATTTCCCCTCACCTGAATGAGTGTATCACGGGACCCAGTGACGATCAGATTGTTCTTAGGACCAAAACCAGCCGTCTCTACTGTGTCCTCGTGTTCCAGATCGGTGGCCATGAATCGGTGAAAGCCCTGAGAGTCAGCCAAGAATATCCTCACAGATCTTCCAAAACCTGAAATGGGAGGGACTGGGATTACTCCTCCTGTGGCTGAAGGAGATGGCAGGTAATGTGTTCCATCAACAGAGAGGTTTGGGAGCACGTGCTGTGTGCCAGTAGGCCTAGTTGATGATTGAGGCACAGAGGTGGGGATGCTCACAGTAACCAATTGTTTTAAAGAAACTTGTAAGATTATGTATTTATTTTTTTGAGACAGAGTCTCACTGTGTCACCCTGGGCAGAGTGCCATGGTGTCATAGCTCACAGCAACCTCAAACGCTTAGGCTTAAGCAATCCTCTTGCCTCAGCCTCCAGAGTAGCTGGGACTACAGGTGCCACAACTCCTGGCTAGTTTTTTTCTTTTCTTTTTTTTTTTTTTTTTGAGACAGAGCCTCAAGCAATCCCCCTGGGTAGAGTGCTATGGCATCACAGCTCACAGCAACCTCCAACTCCTGGGCTCAAGCGAGTCTCCTGCCTCTGCCTCCCAAGTAGCTGGGATTACAGGCGCCCGCCACAATACCCAGCTATTTTTTGGTTGCAGCCGTCATTGTTATTTGGTGGCCCAGGCTGGATTTGAACCCGGCACCTTAGGTATATGTGGCTGGCGCCTTAGCCACTTGAGCTACAGGTGCTGAGCCTAGTTTTTTTCTTTTTTTAGTAGAGATGGGGGTCTCACTCTTGCTCAGGCTTGTGTCAAACTCCTGAGCTCAAATAATCTACCTGCCTCAACCTCCCAGAGTACCAGGATTACAGGTATGACCCACTTCACCCAGCCTCTATGATTATTCATTATCATGAGACTATGTTTCTGGAGGGCAGAGGCTGCTTGTTTGGGCTCATCATGGTATTTCATAAGCCAGCACACAGCTGAGCACAGAGGCCTTCAATAAATACATTGGAAGGAAGGGGAGGAGGGAAGGAAGAGGAGGAGGGAGAGACAAAAATTAAATGGTTACAACTTGTGATAAGGGCAAAGAAGGCAGAGAGCTGGGTGACTTGAGAGAAAATAGCATACAGACACAGCAGTGTGAAGACAGAGCCTGGGCCCATGGCGCCACGAGTCCAGGAATGCTGGCAGAAGCTGGGAGAGCCTGGAGCCTCTGGAGGAAGCGTGCCCTGCTAACCTCCTGATTTCAGACTTCTGGCATCCAGGATTGGGAGAGAATCAATCCCTATTGTTTTAAACCTCTTAATTTATGTGGTGGTTTGTGATAGCAGCTCCAGAAATTTTAAGCTGAGGAGGTGGCAGCCACTGGAAAGATGGGACCAGCAAGAGGCAGCCAGGAGGTAGGAAAGTCCTGAGCATATCTGAGGAGCTGCAAAGAGGCTGGTGTGGCTGGCAAGGAGCAAAGGAGGAGGAGATGGAGGAAGAGAGGATGAGAAAGCGTGGCCTGATGTAACAAACAAATAAATAAACATCAAGACACCCAGTTAAATTTGAATTTCAGATAGACAATGAAGTTTGATTTTTTTTTTTAAACTCACATAAGTATATCCAAAATAATTGCATGGGGCCTGGAGCAGTGGCTCACGCCTATAATCCTAGTACTCTGGGAGGCCGACGCTTGAGCTCAGGAGTTCGAGTCCAGCCTGAGCAAGAGTAAGACCCTGTGTCTAAGAATAGCCAGGCACTGTGGCGGGTGCCTGTAGTCCCAGGTACTTGAGAGGCTGAGGCAAGAGGATCACCTGAGCCAAAGAGTTTGAGGTTGCTGTGAGCTATGACACCATGGCACTAATTTATGCAGAGTGATGGAGTGAGACTCTGTCTCAATAATAATAATAATAATAATTGCATGGAATATATTTACCCTAAAAACTTAATTTATTGTCTATTTGAAATTCAAATTTCGCTGAAGGTCTTGTATTTTATCTGGCAAACCTGACCAAGGGGACTTACTCACTTGCATTCCAAAGACAATCTGAGTGAACTAGTTTTGTCCTAGCAGGGTAGGGATGTGTACGAAAGACAGATTTACGGAGGGCACTGAAGCCCCATAAAGGAGACAGATGGGCTGGGCACGGTGGCTAACCCCTGTAATCCCAGCACGCTGGGAGGCCAAGGTGGGAAGATCATTTGAGGTCAGGAGTTTGGGACCAGCCTGAGCAACCCTGTCTCTTAAAAAAAAAAAGAAAGCTGAGTGTGGTGGTGCACATCTGTAGTCCCAGCTACTTGGGAGGCTGAGGCAGGAGGATCCCTTGAGCCCAGGAGTTTGAGGCTATAGTGAGCTATGATCATGCCACTGAACCTCATGTCTGGGTGGCAAAGCAAGACTCTATCTCCAAACAAAAAAAAAAAAAAAAAAAAAAGGGAGAGAGAGTTTTATCCTTGAAACACTAGGAGTCACCAGTTGAGTTGTCCACTTCCTTTGGTACCAACAGCTTAGGTGCTGAGTGTGCTAGGGGAACGTGGTTCCCATTCAAGTGGGCACCCTGCTTTTTTATAGGGACTATTAATATTTGCTATAAGATAGGTGCACCATCAATTCTGCCAGATATTCAGAAACAAAATTATATTGGCAAATAGACAGATGTTCTAATACGGGGCAGCATCGTATCTGAGAGCAGGCATGAGCCACTGAGCCCAGCTTCTGCTGCTTTTCATCTGTATCTTGTTGCTGCTGTAAACTAACTGTATGGCAGCTTTTGCTTTTGCTTAGTTCTGTGAGTCTGAGCAAATCATGGAAGCTGAAGTGGTCTTGGAGACCCTCAAACTGCAATTTTATTTATGACACTTAAATGAAATTCTTGCCTGATCTTAGCTAAGTCAGGATCAGGGGATATCTCTTAAGCAACAGGTTGGTTCCCAAAACTGTGAATGTAGAAACTTCCCTTAGGCTCCCTCCGTCTTTTCATTGAGCTGGAAAGAGCCACACTCGAAGCCCAGCTATTCCATATTTCTGTCCTTGATGCCCTTGGCCTCCATTCTGGTTCTATTTTGTGTCTCTACCATCGCTTTTCTTTCTTCTTTCGTTCAGTCTCCAGTGCTGCATTTTATACACACCTCAACCACCAAAGACTCTTTCAGAACAGAATAGAGGATATATATCAATCAGTCTCCAATCAGTCTGTCTTAGAGGATAAAGATTTACCTACTAACCTTGCTTTTTCCAATGTGGTCACTACCTGACAGGGTGTTGCTCTGGCTCAGGCTGATCTCAAAGTCCTGACCTCAAGGGATCCTCCCACTTCAGCCTCCCAGTGTCCTGGAATTACAGGCATTAGTCACTGTACACTAGCCCCCACCTTTTTTTGAGATGGGGTCTTTCTATGTTGCTCAGGTGGGACTCAAACTCTTGGGTTCAAGGGATCCTCCCACCTTGGCCTCCCAAGTAGCAGAGCCCTTTATTCTTTTCTTGTCATACTACCAATCAGAATTTCTTGTGGCTACCTAATTGTTCTTCTCTCCTGCTAGAATGGAAGAACCTAACAACTTAGGGGTTGTGTGGGCTGGCTCATCTGTGCACAGAGCATTCCTCCCCTATCCTTGAACCAGGCTTCACTCTATCCCGTGATTATCTGGCAGGGAGGATAACTCCTATTTCAAAGAGAACAAACTGAAACTCAGAAAGGTCAGAAGATTCCCCCAAGAACAGGGGTTGGCAAACTACAGCCCAGGGATGAAAACCAACCTACTGCCTGTTTTTTGGTATGGCCTGTGAGCTGAGAAGAGTGTCCATATTTTTATTTTATTTTTGAGACCAGGTCCTGCTTGGCTGGTCTCAAACTCTTGGGCTCAAGCAATCCTCCTGCCTCAGTTTGCCAAGCAGTGGGATTACAGGGGTATGCCACCACACCCAGCAGTTTCTACATTTTTAAATGCTTGCAAAAAATCAAAGTAAGATTAAAATTTCATGACAAGTGAAAATGATAAGGGATTCAAACATCAGTGTCTATAAATAAAGTTGTATTGGCACAGGGGCACACACACTTTTTATATAGTGTCTAGATGAGGCAGGGTGGGTCATGCCTATAATCCCAGCACTTTGGGAGGCTGAGATGGGAGGACTACTTGAGGGCAGGAGTATACGGATAGCCTGTGTAACAAAGTGAGATGCTGTCTCTACAGAAGAATAAAAATTAGCTGGGCATGGGGACACATGCCTATAGTACTAGCTACTTGGTAGGTTGAGATGGGAGGATTGCTTGAGCCCAGGAGTTCAAGGTTGCAGAGAACTAGGATTGGGCCACTGCACTCCTGCCTAGGAAACAGAGCAAGACCCTGCCTCAAACAAACAAATGAATAAATAAATCAATAGTGTCTACGATGGCTTTTGTGCCACAGGGGCAGAGTTGAGTCATAATAGCAGAGAACATCCCATTTGGACTGCAAAAATGTTTACCATGAGGCCTTTTTGCAAGACAAGTTTGCCAACCTCTCCCCTAGGACTCTTCTTTGTTCCCACCCCCAATCCCATCCCGATTGGCTTCCTTGATCTTCTGAAAGCAGAGCCAAATGCTACCTGCTGCGAGAAGGGACTCATCTTCAGAGACCACCAGGAACCCCACAGCATCTGGGAGCTTCTCCAGTAATCTGTCTCCTTCGGAGGAAACCTGTGCAAAGTCAAGGATGCCTGTCAAGCATTTGTACAGGGTTAAGGGTGGAGCGCTTACATCCTACTAATCAACATAGCCTTCACTTCATTTACCCAATTATAGCATTAAGACATTTGTGTTCTACACCTGATAGAGCCAACTTGTACTTGCAACATGCTCCATAGGTGTGGTCCCCCTATTAACCCTCTCTCTCTCAACCCACCCCCCCTCCCTTCCCCTCTCTCCTTCCCCTCTCTCCTTCCCCTTCCTTCCTTCAAAAATTTTTTCTTAATTCTTGTTCTGGCCAGGCATAGTCACTTGTACCTGTAATCCCAGTGTTTTAGGAGGCTGAGGCAGGAGGATCACTTGACCCCAGGAGTTCAAGACTGTAGTGAGCTATGATCACACCATGCACTTTAGTCTGGACAACACAGTGAGCCCCTGTCTCTAAATATAACATTTTAAAAAATTTATAAACTAAAATAAAATTTTAAAAAAACGCTCTTGCTCTAAGGTTTATTTTATTTCAACACCAAGTTCATAATTCACACATATGTGACCTTCACTTTGTAGCTTGCAAGTCTAGTGGCTCTGAATCTTGAGGTTCACTGGGGGCTTGGACATTTAAGGGCTGGATGAGAAGTCATGGTTTGGAGACTAGGAATTCTGGCTTGAAGAGACTGCTTTTCTCACAACCAAATAATAGTTCTAGAATATTTGGGTAATTGCTAGTTCAGCTTCTTTATTCTGGCCTCAGATAAAATAAAGGACACAGAGAACTTTCTGCTGAACGTTCTCTTCTAGTTACCTTATCTGATGTTCTTCATTCATTGTTTGAGCTTCCTTTCAATCTGAAAAACTCCTTACCACTTTTTTTTTTTTTTTTTTGATACAGAGTCTCCTTTTGTTGCCCTTGGTAGAATGCAGTGGCGTCACAGCTCACAGCAACCTCAAACTCTTGGGCTTCAGCGATTGTCTCAGCCTCCCAAGTAGCTGGGACTACAGGTGCCTGCCAGAACACCTGGCTATTTTTTGTTGTTATTGTTGTCATTGTTGTTTAGCAGGCCCTGGGTCGGTTTCGAACCCACCAGCCCCTGTGTATGTGGCTGGCGCCCTAACCATTGAGCTACAGGCACTGAGCCATCTTTACCATTTCTTATACTAAAGATTTGTTAGAGGCAAATTTTCTCAACCGTTGTTTGTCTGAACTGTTTTTATTTTGCCTTCAGTTTTGAAGGATATTTTCAATGGATATAGAAGTCAACGTCAACAAGCTTTGTTTGTTATTTCTTTCAAGTTATAAATGTCATTTCATTGTTTTCCTGTCATTGTTAATGATGATAGCCGGCTGTAAATCAGATCATTGGCACTCATTGTATGTAATGGATCTTTTTGCCTCAAATTGCTTTTACTATTTTCTCTTTGTCTTTGGTTTTTACCAATTTGATTATGATTCACTAAATTTGTTTTTTTTTTTCTTTCTATCCTTGGGACTCTATGAGCTGTTATATCTTTGGGCCGATGTTTTCCGTAAATTTTGGAAAATTCTCAACCATTATCTCTTCAAATATTTTTTCTGCTACATGATCGCTCTCTCTCCTCTCCATGGATTTTAAGTGTGCTTTATACTACTTGATGTTGTCCTGAAATTCTCGGACTCCTTGTTCCTTTCCCCCTCATTGTTTTTTATTCTCTTTATGTTTATGTTTGTGTAATTCCCATTAACTTGTCTTTAAGTTTACTGGGCTTTCTCTGAACTGACTAGTCTGCTTGTAAGCCCATCAAATGAACTCTTGATTTATGACTTTGAATTTTTTCTATTTCTAGCATTTCCATTTTGGTCCTTCTTTGTATTTTTGATATTAAAAATTTGAAATTCCCTATCATAAATATTTTAAACTTTGTTCATTAAGACTGTCACCCTGGGAAGAATGCTGTGATGTCATAGCTCACAGCAAACTCAAACTCTTGGGATTAAATTATCTTCTTGCCTCAGCCTCTTGAGTAGCTGGGACTACAGGTGTCCCCCACAATACCCAGCTAGTTCTTCTATTTTTAGTAGAGACAGGGTCTTGCTCTTGCTCAGGCTGGTCTTAAACTCCTGAGCTACTCACCTCAGCCTCCCAGACCTCTAGGATTACAGGCATCAGCCACTATGCTCAACCTATTAGAAACTTCTTATCTGATCATTTAAACATTAGATTTATTTGTATATCTACTTCTATTGATTATTTTTGTTCTTGATTTTTTTCCTTCTTGTAATTTTTGTAATCTTTTGGGATTGTATGTAAAAGAACAGTATAGCCTCAAATAAATAAATTTTACCTTTATAAAAGGACATGCTCCTTCTGTTGGACTTCTAGTATAGAAGGATCTGGATCAATCTAATTTGCATTTCAGCTGAATATGGGCTCTGCTGCATCTTTAGTAAATCCACTTCCCCACTTTGTTCAAATGTTCTGAGAGTGGTATTAAGACTTTTTTCAGCAGGACTGGGATCTGAGCACTATGAGATCCAGACACCCCCTAATCATCTTAGCCCAACCATCAGCTTTCCAAATCATGGGAGTTCTCTCTCTACTTTATAGTCTGCAACTTTCTACTCCAGGTTCTACATTTTTCTTTTTCTTTTCTTCTTTCTTTTTTTTTTTTTTTTGAGACAGGAGCCTCAAGCTGTCCCCCTGGGTAGAGTGTCACGGCATCACGCTCACAGCAATCTCCAACTCCTGGGCTCAAGCGAGTCTCCTGCCTCAGCCTCCCAAGTAGCTGGGACCACAGGTGCCCGCCACAACGCCCGGCTATTTTTTGGTTGCAGCTGTCATTGTTGTTTGGCGGGCCTGGGCTGGATTCGAACCTGCCACCTTGGGTGTACGTGGCTGGCGCCTTAGCCACTTGAGCCACAGGTGCCGAGCCAGGTTCTACATTTTTCTAGGAATCTAGTTTGAGTTCCTCCAGAAAGAGCAACAGAAATAGTATTTGAGTGCAATTAGCTTATCTGGGTGTGTGGCTCCCAGCAAGTACTGGTAGGGAGTGGAGGATTGAGACAGGGAAGAGAAGGCAGCCAATAAAAGTGGTTCATCAAACCAGTCACTAGTGTGGACAACTGAAGTTCAGCCCTACTGGGGAGCTCTGGAAGAGAATGCAGAATATTCTTCAGAGTTGTCCCCACTGAGGAATCAGGAGTTGGAATATTGTCTACCAGCTCCCTCAGTAGTTGGTGAAAGGCTCAGCTACTCCCAGGAGCATTAACACATAGGCCAAGTGTGCTGGGGTGGAGGAGAGAGCATCAGAAAGAAAGACCACCAAGGTGCAGACTTGCAGGTACTTAAAGTTAGCAGCCTGTAGAAATGGAGGAGAATGTTGAGGGGATATGGATGGAGCACCACCAGCAAATTATGTAAGAAGTCCTAAATGCGGAAATCTGAGTTTACTGAAGACCTTATTTCCAGTTCACTGCTGTGATACCTTAGAGCGCTTCACAGGGCTGAGCTAGCCCAAGAATATAACTAGTTAAAGGCAGGACTGAGATTTTCAAACTCAGGTGAGTCTGACCCCAAAGTCTCAGTTCCTTATTAAAAAAGATAAAAGGTCTCAAGTCTTAGGCTCAGAAAGAACTACCAGGGGTGAGTAAAAGCCAAGCAACTGAGAGATGTGATGAAATGACTTAGGACTATCTTTCTTTATTGGGTTTGGTGATTTGAGAGCTCACAGGCCATAAGGCCATGAGATCCAGAAATGTGGAGTTTGGGGATGATTCTTTGTAATTATTTTTATTTGTTTGCTTGTTTTCCTTTCTGTTTATTTGTTGTTTGTTTTAAGACAGTCTTGCTCTGTAACCCTGGCTAGAGAGCAATGACATCATCCCAGCTCACTGCAACCTCAAGCTTCTGGACTCAAGCAATCCTCCTGCCTCAGCCTCCCAAGTAGCGGGTCTACAGGTGGGACTGCACCAACATGTCCAGGTAATTTTTCTGCTTTTAGCAGAGACTCGGTCTCACTCTTGCTCAGGGCTGGTCTTGAACTTTTAACTATAAGCAATCCTCTTGCCTCTACCTCCCAAAATGCTGATATAAGACAAGATAATTTCTCCCAATTTCTAGGATATTGGATCACTTTTAAGCTGATTTAATTTTCTCATCATAGTCAGAAAAGTTACTTACCAAAGAGACAGAGCCATTGCTAAACCCAGTAACCAGCTTTCCTTGTTTCTGGACTGCGACCACACAGGTTGGTATTTCTTCTTTGATGCTGGACAAATGTTGTTTCCCGTGCAGTTCTCCCATGGCTGAACTCCACAGACTGACCACGCCACCCTTGGACACTGTCACCAGTCTGGCCTGAGAAGCCAGCATGGCCGTGCACATCCAGGGATCAGAGGTATCTCCCAGAATGCGGAAAACCAGCTCTGCAGTTTCCAGATTCCAAGCACTGATCTAATAGAATAAAAAGGAAGCGACCTCTCAGTAGGAGACCCAGACTGCAAGTTTTCCTGAATCAAATGCCAGATCTGTTCTTTTTTATAGTTTATGTATCTTATTTTCAACACTGCCATGTCAGACGTAAAAAAAGGCCAGGAGGGAAACTTATAGCACTAAATGACTATATTAAAAAAGATGAACATGGGGTGGTGCCTGTGGCTCAGTGGGTAGGGCTCCAGCCCCATATACAGAGGGTGGCAGGTTCAAACCTGATCCTGGCCAAACTGCAACAAAAAAATAGCCAGGCGTTGTGGTAGGCGCCTGTAGTCCCAGCTACTTGGAAGGCTGAGGCAAGAGAACCTCCTAAGCCCAAGAGCTAGAGGTTGCTGTGAGCTGTGATGCCACAGAACTCTACCAGGTGACAAAGTGAGGCTCTGTCTCTTAAAAAAAAAAAAAGATGAACATCCTTAAATCTCAGGGTCAGAAAGAACTATCAGGACGCCAACTATGAAATTTGAAACCTCTTAGAACACTCTTTTACATGATTGCATACCCCTATCTACACTCTTCCCCCCCATATAAGGGAGCCCCTCCTTACAGAAACAACTTATTTCTGCTTTTGAATGCCTTGCTCTCAGTTTTCCTTTACAAACAGGGCAGCTGTTTGTTACCTTTGAGCCAGATGTCGAATATACAACCTTCTTTGCTTCATCCACATGAAGGCTCCAGATCTGAGGTTCAGTGGGAATTTGGGGGCCTCCATCCCAAATGGTGAATTTCTCTTGGCCAGAAAGTAAATTCCACAAGCGCAGCGTGTGGTCCCTTGAAGCAGAGATGGCGAGGGTCCCCTTGGCAAACACTTTCACACATCTCACCTCTCCTGAAGGAGGCAGGGGGCCGGTGGGGATTAGTATGTTCATTTGCTGGGAATATTTTGACCTTGCAACTACAAAAATGCCTGTTGGCTTGGAAACACCTTGGTTTACCAAAGAAAAAGTGCATGGATTTGAACATATCTAAGTTGAAAATGATGGAATGTGGCAAAATAAAATTAAGAGTGCAACAATTAGTGGGAATTTAATCAGTTGCCCAGACGTTGAATCTGTAATAAACTAAGATAACTGAATTTTATAAAGATTTAGCATCCAGGAAATATCTAAAATCAATAAATGTTTTAAAAGGGTAAAATTCTGGAAAAATTACAGAGGTTCTCCTATAATTTTTATTTCTTAAGAAAAACACAAAATTTGGTAGACATAAAAGGTAAATGTTGACCAAATGGATTTCATAAAAATGTAAAACTTCTGGATGATAAGATGTAGTTGAGAGGCATATGATAGATTGGAAGAAAATATTTGCAACATATGCCAGACAAATGGAGATGATCCTTAATAAACAAAAAGTTCTTACAAACAAAAAATACAAATAACTGGCTCAATACTGTAGCTCAGTGGCTATGGTGCCGGCCACATACACCAGGGCTGGCAGGTTCAAACCGGCCTGGGTCTGCCAAACAATTACAACAACAAAATAAAAACAATAAAAAACAACAATAAAAAAAATAGCTGAGTGTTGTAGTGGGTGCCTATAGTCCCAGCTACTTGTGAGACTGAGGCAAGAGAATTGCTTAAACCCAAGAGTTAGAGGTTGCTGTGAGCTGTGACACAATAGCACTCTAGAGGGTGACATAGTAAGACTGTCTCAAAAAAAAAACAAAAAAACCAAATAACCTACTTACTAATTTGACAAAGACTACAAATGGGACGTTTATAGAAATAGTACAAGTGGACAGTAAGTGTATGAAAATGATGCATAACTTCACTGATAATCACAAAAATGAAAATGAAACACCAGTGTTTCACCAATCTTTCACTATTGATGCCCATCATATTGGCAAAAATTTTTAAGGATTAATCACTTTAATGCTGGCAAAGACACAAGAAATCAATTATTTTGTTACCTTGCTGATGGCAGTATAAATTGATAAAACTTTTTGATGGGTAATTTAGTAATATTTAAGTTAAAATGTACAGTCTCCTGATTTTGAATAATGTTCTAGACTATAGTTACATAAGATGTTGTCATTGTGGGAAGGTGAATAGAAGATCTACAGGGCCTCTCTGTACTATTTTGGCAACTTCTTGTGAGTCTATAATTACTTCAAAATAAAAAGCTATGAAAAAGGAAAATTATACATACGCTTTGACTCAGAAATCCCACCTGTAGGAATGTGTCTTACACAAGTAACAACAAAATGTGTAAAGATGTAGAAGGGCTTTTTTTTTGAGACAGAGTCTCACTATGTCACTCTCACAGTACAGTGCTGTAGTGTCATAGCTCACAGCAACCTCAAACTCTTGGACTTAAGAAATTCTCTTGCCTTAGCTTCCCAAGTAGCTGGGACTACAGGCTGACTATAACCTCAAACTTTTGGGCTCAAGTGATCCTCCTTCCTCAGCTTCCCAATTAACTGGGTCTATGAGTGTAGACTTGTACCAGCCAATTTTTAAAATTTGTTGTAAAGATGGGGTCTTGCTATGTTGTCCAGTCTGGTTTCAACCTCCTGGCTTCAATCATCCCCCCTCAGCTTCCCAAAGTGATGGGATTACAGGCTATGAGGTACTATTATTTTTCCATTCAATAGATACAGGAATGGTCAAATAGAGTAACTTGTCTGAAGCTATATAATTCATATGTAATAAGCCAAGATTTGAACCCAACCTCGCAAATACCACAATATGTTATTAAGTAACAAAAGCAAATTGCCACTCAGTATGTAAAACAGCACGTTCTGTTTCTTTACAAAAAGTAAAAATACATGATCCTATTCAGAGCAATGTCTGGATAAGACTAGGAAAAATTTGCTAGTGGTATATAAATGTCCTCATAAATAGAACACAATATCATTGTTAAGATGAACTTTTTATATATACACATATATAAAATTTTATTTAAAGTCATTAGTAGGTCCTTGGAAATTGTAACTTGATGTGAAATAATGTATAACAAAACAAATTTTTTTCCTCATCAATGTTATAACTAAACAATGTTGAATGAAGAGACATTATCTGATGTTATTTAAGCTGTACATTGTTTTACTTTAAGTCACAGTTTCCAAGAAACTATCAATGTTGAGCAAGGACCTACTGTCTATACATATGGAAAGAGGTAAAATACTTGATGTTAATTGAAAAAAACCCAGTTGCAAAAGCTTATATAAATACATATTTTATATACCTATGTTTATATAATCTGAAGGAATATAAACTAAATACCCTCTGAGGAAAGTTAGAACAATGATGTGGGGATAAATATTTAACAACTGGCTCTCTAAGGGAAGTTCTGGACAGCAGTGATTTGTAGTGTTTGCCAATTTCCATGATATAAATACTGTCACTATGGTTAATTTCAAGTCATTAACATGATATCATTGACTGTGGATAGAGGTACTCTAGAGCTGTGGTCCCCAACCCCTGGGATATGGACTGGTAGTGGTCCACGGCCTGTTAGGAACAGGGCTGTGCAAAAGGAGGTGAGTGGTGTGTGAGCATCGGGCAAAGCTTCATCTGTGTTTACAGCTGCTCCCCACCATTCACGTCACTGTCTGAGCTCCACCTCCCATCAGATCTAGATTCTCAAAGTAGCATGAACCTTACTGTAAACTATGCACGTGAGGGATCTAGGCTGTGTGCTTCCTATGATAATCTAATGCCTGATGATCTGAAGTGGAGGTGCAACATATTTGAATCATCTTGAAACCATTCCCCTGCCCTGGTCTGTGGAAAAATTGTCTTCCATGAAACTGGTACCTGGTGCTGAAAAGATTGGGGACTGCTGCTCTAGAGTAGTGAGGTGAGATGCTCAGTTGCACCTTCCTTTCTCCACATGGATACAGTAGTGAAGAGCATAGGTAATAACAGCAAAGTGCAGTAAAATAATTAGAAGCGAGGAGTTATGAGCATTTATTACCCTCTTTAATTTATTAATGTCTTAATAATCTGTTAGTTTTTATGATTTAATGTTTAATAATAGCCACGTTTGACACCCCGTCATGAGTGTCCTAAAAATTCCGGTCAGCTCTTCTAAGCTGGTATGAACCAGCTCTAGATGGCCACTATGAGATAGGAAACTTTTGCTTTCCATAATATATATATGTGTGTGTGTGTGTATGTGATGTTTGGGGTTTTTTTTCTAATAACTTAATTACTGAGTTTTTTCCTAATAACTTAATTACTATTCTGATTACAAATAATAAGAGTTTATTGATTTAAAAAATAAATCAAGATCACCATTGGAAAATGGGGCTGGTATGAACAGATGGTTCACACAAAAGAAAATTTAAACATTGAACAGACCTTTGGGAAAATAGTGACTCTGATAACAATAAAATGAAGGGAGTCTGATTTGATATATCTATAGATATATAGATATATATAGATATATATATATAGATATATCTATAGATATATAGATATATAGACATATACACACACACATACACACCCAAGAAAAAAGTCATAAAATGAAAACATCTAATGCTAGGAACTTTGGGATTGGAGGATGTTTCAACCTACTATAGACTGTTCAGAAAGCAACAAGATGACACTTCTCAAAACCACAGAAATGTTCATACCCTTCAACTCAGGGTTCCTACTCACTGGAAATACTCAACAGAAAGAAAATATACTGATTACAGTAAAAAGAGGTTCATCCCAGCATTATTCATAATAGCAAGTATTTAGAAATAGCCTAATATGAACAAATTTTAAACTATTTATTCTAGTATATGGTTGCTGTGGTCTGAATGTATGTGTCCCCCCAGAGTTTATATGTTGAAACCTAGTCTCTAATGTGATTATATTAGAAGGTGGGGATTCGGGGTGATAATCAAGTCATAAGACAGACCCCTTAAGGCTTGGATTAGTGTCTTTACAAAACAAGTCCCAGAGAGCTGCCTCATCCCTTCCAGCATGTAGAAGCTATGAAGACTTACAAATACATGAGCAGAAGAACTTTCCAGCTGAGCCCAGCCTGAATTGCCAATCCACAGAAGATTAGCTAAAGAAACAGCTTGTTTAAACCCTTTGTATCTGGCTTGGAGCCCGTAGCTGAAGTGGCTAAGGCACTAACCACATACACCAGTGCTGGTGGGTTGGAATCCAGTCCAGGCCTGCCAAACAACAATGACAACTACAACCAAAAAATAACCAGGCATTGTGGCGCGTGCCTGTAGTCCCAGCTACTTGGGAGGCTGAGGCAAGAGAATCACTTGAGCCCAAGAGTTGGAGGTTGCTGTGAGCTGTGATGCCACAGCACTCTACGCAGGGTGACAGCTTGAGGCTCTGTCTCAAAATAAATAAATAAATTAAGTAAGCCCTTTGTATCTGTGGGAATGGGTTTTTAATGCAGCTCTAGCTCATTGATGCAGAAACAAAACCAGGGTTCTAACACAGAGAAGTGAATCTATGAGAAAGGGGCTTTGGTGACTGACTGTTCCCTGTGGGACACTAGCAATAAGTTGACCATAAACCGCACTTCCCGAGCCTCACCTGTGTGTCCAGTTAGAAGGTGGATCACCTGCTGTTCTTCCATGTCCCACACAGCCACAATGCCATCCTGGGTGCCAATCACCAGCAACATCTTCTCCACACCCCATGCCATGGCAGTGATGCCTACAGCCATACAGAGATAACAGCAATGACCTCAGCTCTAAGTGCCCAGCTACAGGCTTCTCTAATAAGCCCCCACTTTACAAATAAGAAAACTGAGGCATGGATAGGTTCGGTCACTTGCCCAAAGCCATAAAGCTAGGATTTCATAACCGGAATAGTCAAACACCAAGATTCAAACTCTGGGCTGCCCGTGAGATTTTTATTTCTTGTAGGTAAGAAAATGGACTGAGCCACAGCTTGGTCATAATTGTCTGTCTAGACTAGTGGCTTTTACCAGGGGTGATTTTGTCCCCTAGGGGATACATGTTGGTGTCTGGAGACATTTTGGGTGCCACAACTGGGAATGAGACTGCTAGGGGCATCCAATGGAGACCAGGGATGCTGCTCAATACCTGACAAGGCACAGGGCACCCACACGAGAATGATCCATCTCCTGTGTCCACAGTTCCCTGGTTGAGAAACCCTGCCCTAGTTGGATATGACCTAAAAATAGACTTATAGGCCAGGTACAGTGGCTCATGTCCGAAACCCCAACATTTTGGGAGCCCAAGGTAGGAGAATTACTTGAGTCCAGGCCTGGGCAACATAGCAAGACCCTGCCTCTCTGTCTCTTAAAATAAAAAGAAATTATTGTATATTGGCTGAGAATGAGGACCTTGTTTTTGACTTCTTGAATTTGACCTGTTTGAAAAAATAAAGGTCCTAAAGAAAAAGTATTTGCCAACAGTTTGGGCAAACATAGCTCAAAGTTCTCTGCTGTTTAGATTTTGGTTAAAACATCACTGGAGAGGGTCACATTATATTAGAGAAAACATCAGTCCATATATTAAGAAACCAGACCTTCTGATTTGGTGCCTATAGCACAGTGGTTAGGGTGCCAGCCACATACACCGAGGCTGGCACCCTAACCAGATTTAGCTGGCCTGGGCGGGATTTAAACCCGGCCCAGGCCAGCTAAACAACAACAACTACTACAACAAAAAAAATAGGTGGGCACTGTGGTGGGTGCCTGTAGTCCCAGCTGAGGCAAGAGAATCGCTTAAGCCTAAGAGTTAGAGGTTGCTGTGAGCTGTGATGCCACTTCACTCTAGCAAGGGTGACATAATGAGACTGTCTCAAGAAAAAAGGAAGAAAAGAAAGAAAGAAAGAAAGAAAGAAAGAAAGAAAGAAAGAAAGAAAGAAAGAAAGAAAAAAGAAAGAAAGGGAAAGAAACTTTCTACATGTCTTTGAGTGAAAAGGTCCTTTTCTTTCTTTGTGCCTCAGTTTCCCCATATGTTAAATGATACTGGAAGTGTTAAATCAGATCCAGCCCAGCTCTGCAAATCCAAGATTTTGTTTCTACCTCACTGGGACAGAGAGTGAGGAGATGGGATTTGTTTTCTTTCCTTGCTTTTCTTTTTCACTGCCTCCCTCCCTCCCATCCTTTCTTTCTTTTTCTTTATTTCTTTTTTCTCACACACTCACCATGTGACCTTAAAAATATTAGCTTAAACTTTTCCTTTTTAAAAATGAACAAACTGAAGCCTACCACAGGCAGCAACTTTATCAATTTCACCATGATTAGTGGATATACAGCAGGTTGTAGTGAGTCTGAAGCACAAAACATTTCCCTGCCCCAGAGATGACAAAATCCAAGCTGTGAGTTCCTATGCCTGTCACTAATCAACCACAATACTAGATGTGATTTGTACCCCCATAGCCATTCTATCATTAATCCTTTAGTAGTAAAACCCCAAAGCCCAAAGGTTTTAGCTGAGTACTTGGTTATCCCCACAAAGACCATTCTGAGGCTCCCTTAGAGTTGAAGATATCCAAGTTATAGCCAATGAAACAAAAGCAGAAATTTTAAGCTCAACTTCTAGGTCATACCTTCAAAAGCTAGGGGTCTACTATCCACTTCTCCTTCCCATTTCCCACTGGCTGGAATGCCTTTGTGATGGTAAGAGCTGGAGTAGCCATCTTGGGCCAATGAGAGCAACTCCACACTGAAAATGTCAGAGCAACCAGACTGAAGGAATCTGGGCCCCAGATACCCTAGGGACTCCATTTTACCTTTGTTTTCATTTGAATTGTTACATGAGAGAGGAATAAACTTCTATTTTATTTAAGCCACTTCTATTTCAGCCTTGGTTATAACTTCTGAACCTATATTCTAACAAATGCACATTCTTTCCCATTAAACCAGCTTCAGTCTCAGAATCCTTCTCAACACAGCATTCCAGGGGCTGCCTGTGTGTCAAGTTCTCCACGCATTGTACTTACCATCTTTCAGAATTTCTACTTTAGAAATAATGTGCCCAGGGAGTGCCTGCATGGTAATAACTCTGAAATTTGAACCTTAAACTAATTGTATTTGCTTGTCTCACAATTAACGTGAGAGATTGTGGGTGGGCAGATAAAGGGATTGATGAAAGGAAATGGATGAGTGGCTAACTGAAGATACGGGTGGTTGGCTGAATAAGTGGGTGGGTGAATGGGTAGGCAGGTAGGTGGGCAGATGGATGAATCAGTTTCTAGATTGTAGGTAATTGATGAATGGCTGAGTGCATGGCTCAGTGGAGGGGTGAGTGGACGGAAATGGCCAGGTGAGGAAAATGGAAGGATAGAGGTAGGGGAAATATATGGGTAGAAAGATGACTAGAAGCACAGATAACAAATGGGTGGATAGATGAATGGAAGAAAGAAGGGAAAGAAGAAGAAATAAAAGAAGGAACGGAGGAAGGGAGGGATGGAAGGAAAGGTTAAATGATAAATGAATGGATGGATAGGTGAGTGGATGAATGGAAGGGTGGGTGGATGGATGAATGGGTCAGATGGATGGATAGGTGAGTGGATGAATGGAAGGGTGGGTGGATGGATGAATGGGTCAGATGGATGGATAGGTGAGTGGATGAATGGAAGGGTGGGTGGATGGATGAATGGGTCAGATGGTGGGTAGGTGAGTGGATGGATGGATGGATGGATGGATAAATGAATGAATGGATGGGTGGGTGAGTGGTGAATGAATGAATTGATGGAAGGGTGGATGCATGAGTGGATAGATGAATGGATTGATAAACAGATGGGATGAGTGAAAGAAAAAAAATGGATGACAAATGGATGGATGGATGGCAAAAACTAAGTCCTCTTCCCTCCCTGACATTCTGGAGCTCCAGGGGCAGTCTACAGTGCTATCAGCCTTTCAGCCAGTTGGGTGTCAATTGCTAACTTCCAGGCTTACTAATATGAGCCTTTAAATTACAGAAACTATCTGTAAGATAGGCACTAAGCTCTTGGAAATGGGAAGCTTGGAGGCATCCTCTCTCAAGTTTCAGGTTCATTAGTAGTATTTACACCAGTAATCTACAGTCCCTGGGGCACAGAGAGAGCTGATTCAGTATGAAACAGCAGGGGCAGGCCCTGATGGCACCCTTGGGGCCCTCCCACTGGCAGAGGGGAGCCCCAGAGAGCAGCCCCAAAACACCTGCCGACCATTACCTCCAGGCAAGCAGGGGCCTGGTGGGAATTCTACTATGCTGGGGAGGCTCACCTTTGTGACAGCCAGTCAGGGTTGCCCGCAGAGGTCCTCCTGGGGGCTGCAGGAATCCTCCAAGGGGCACCAGCACAGGGTGTGGGCACACCCGAAACCAGCTTTGGGCCTGTTGGCACAGCTGTCCCACCAGTGCTGGATGTGAAGTGGCAAAGAAGTAGAGTCTGGCCAAGAGTTCTGTGTATAGGAGGCTCCGCTCTGCAACGAAGGGGACATGGGTTAAATTGCCTGGGTTGAGTCTACGGCCCCAGGACAAAAGAGAAGACTGAACACCTTGGCTACTGGTCCCTGCCATCCTCTCCTGCCTCCATGTCTGCTATTCTGATATCCTCACCTCTACTTCAAGCACCTGACAGTTTCTAGCCTCAGGACATTTGCACATACTGTTTATTCCCTTGGCCTTGAACACTACCCATCTTTCCCCTTTCTCTCTTTTTTTTCTTGACACATCTTATTTTATTCAGATAACAATCTGATCACACATGGTCCACTCGAATAATAAATATAATCAAATGGTAAAGCTTGGTCTTCAGACACTATAGCCAATGAGGCCATGCTTGCCTGTGATCTCACCAATATAAAACCACATCCACACCTCAGTGGCCACCAAACCATTCAGCACAGCTTCCTTAACCGGGAGCTGTTTCAAGCTACCGGTCTGAGAACTATTGACTATTTTTTTTCTTTCAGGCTCTGAAAAGCTCCAGGGATCTCAGCAGGGTTTGGAGGAACCAGCTCAGCCTTGGTGTAATAGCCAGATATGGCCAATTGAGGCTTCAAATAAGTCACAGCAGCATTCACCAGCACGAGGGTCCTCTCTGCCAGGTTACAGACAAGTTGAGCCATGGTGCTAGGATGGAAAGTCTGTCACCCCAAACGGCCAGTTGAATGTTGCCCCCATTTTCTCATGCCAACTGTCGACTAAGGGGGGAAATCAAGCTTTTAAAGAATTCAAGTTAGTTTTACTCAAAGGCCATACTGAGATCCATAAACTGAGACCTACAGGTTCTATCAGACTGTTCCTGCACACGTTCCAGCCCACTGCTTAAAGACAGGTAGGCTTAGTGCATCCAAAATCACATCAAACTTGCTCAGAAGTTACACTAAAGCAGAATCACATTAAGGTTTGTGTGTAAGAACACATCTTGTTACAGACAACAGAAGCATAATCATTAACCTCATCAGATATTAATTTACATGCAAAGAAAGGTCAGGACCAGGTTATTCATCTTTCAAGGAGTAAAGTGACTCAGGCTCTGTGGCACTTTTTTTTTTTAAGAGACAGAGTCTCACTTTACTGCCCTTGGTAGAGTGCCGTGGCATCACACAGCTCACAGCAACCTCCAACTCCTGGGCTTAGGCGATTCTCTTGCCTCAGCCTCCTGAATAGCTGGGACTACAGGTGCCCACCACAAGGCCTGGCTATTTTTTTGTTGTTGCAGTTTGGCTGGGGCCAGGTTTGAACCTGCCACCCTCGGTATATGGGACTGGCGCCCTACTCACTGAACCACAGGTGCCGCCCCTTCAAAGCATTTTTGCAGAGAGCTGCAGGTCATCAAAGAGTCAGGAACGCTGTGGAAGTTATGCTGGCAAGCAGAAACGAGCATACATGGCCTCTTACATTAGCTCCTGTGTTACACAACTATCTTCTCATCCTCAGTTTAGCCCAAAGTTCACTTCCACAAAAAGCATTCTCCAGTCCAACCCTCCAATCCCCAACCTAGTCCCAGCTCAAGTTGCATCACAGGCAATTTCACATTTTTTAGTTTGTATTTTTGTATTTTATTTCATTTCATTTCGCTTAATTTTTAGAGACTGGGTCATGTTCTCTTGTCCAGGCTGGAGTGCAGCAGCACAATCACAGCTCACTGAAGCCTCAAATTGCTGGGCTCAAGCACTCCTCCTGCCTTAGCCTCCGAAGTAGCTGGGACTACAGGCACTCACTGCTATGCCCAGACAATTTTTAATTTTTTTGTAGAGAGAGGGTCTCACTATTGCCCAGGCTGGCCTCAAACTCCTAGTTTCAGGTGATCCTCTGGCCTCGGCCTCCCAAAGTGCTGGGATTACAGGCGGAGGCACACACCTGGTCTGTGTGTTTATTTGCTGGCCATCAGACCCACTGCCTCTCCATTGCCCCAGATCTTCAACTTTCCAAGAAAAGGGATGATGTCTGTCTTGTCCATTCCTAGTGGACACAAGTGCCTAACACATTATAGACACCCAATGATTATCTCTTAGATAAATAGTGATTAATTTCCCAGCAATTCACACTAATAGATGGCCCCCTACCAAACATCACCAGTTAGCCTAACTTAACCTTCAATATGCTCAGAACATCCGCACTAGCCTATAATTGGGCAAAATCATCTATCACAAAGCCTAGCTTATACTGTAGTAAATAGTATGGACTATCTCATGTAATTTATTAAATACCATGCTGAAACTGAAAAATAGAGTACTGAAATATAGTTTCTTCTAAATCAGTATCTCTTTCACACCACTGCAAATTCAAAAAGTCGTAAATCGAGCCATTGTAAATTGGGGGCCATCTATTAGCTTTCAGTGGCTATTGTAACAAAACCTGGATGGCTTAAAACAGCAGAACTTTATTTTCTCACAGTTCTGGAGGGCAGAAGTCAAGTCTGAGGTCAAGGTGTTGGCAGGGCTATATTCCCTGTGGGGGCTCCAGGGAAGGATTCTTCCCTGCCTCTTCCAGTTTCTGGCCACATCACTCTAATCTCTGGCTCTGTCTTCATGTGGCCTTCTCATCTGTGTGTCCTTGTATTTTCTCATTTTCTATTTTTTTAAGCCCAACCCTTCCCCTACCCCCTCCCTGGCCCTATTTTCTCCTTTTCTGTTTCCAATTTCCTTCTGCCTCCTTCTTATAAACACATTCGTAAGTGCATTTAGGGGCCAATAAAGGATAACCGAGGATAACCCCCAGTCTCGAGATCTTTAATTTCTTTTTAAATTTTATAATTTATTTTTATATTTATTTATATTCATTTTATATTTATTTATATTTTTATTTATTTTTATTTATTTTGAGACAGAGTCTCTCTCTGTCCCCCAGACCGAGGTACAGTGGCATCATTATAGCTCACAGCAACCTCCAATTCCTGGGTTTAAGCAATCCTCCTGCCTCAGCTCCGTGAGTAGCTGGAACTATAAGTACCCACCATCACACCCTTATCTTTAATTCATCTTTAATTTAATTGTATCTTTTGCCATGTAAGGTAATAATCCCAGTTTGGAGGCATGAGGAAGTAAATATGGTCATTCGTCTGTGTCCGTGGGTTCAATGGTGGTTAAGCAACTTGCACAAGTTACACACAGCTAGTAAGAAGAGGGACTCTGATCCAAAATGTTTGATTTCAAGACTGAGTAATGAAGAGCAGAGACCCCAAAGGTACATTGCTCCTTCTGACCCTGCTGTTGGCACGTCCTAACTGTGGAGCCTGGGGCCCTGCCTTGATGGTAGGTAAAATGTGAGAGAACTTCACCCAGGGTCAAATGTTCCATTTGCCACACATACCAAAGGTGTCACCAAAAACTCAACCATCAAAATAAATACTCTTTTAACATAGTATTTTTTGAAAATCAAAAAGTCATATTCCCCATATCCATGATAAATCAAATACCAACATTTTCTTTTCTTTTTTTTTGTTTGACCAGGGCCAGGTTTGAACCTGCCACCTCCAGTGTATGGGGCTGGCGCCCTACTCCTTTGAGCTATAGGTGCCGCCCTCAAATACCAACACTTTCAATAAAAACACCATCACAGGAAACCTCTGTATCTTCCATTCTCTTTTGCTATGAATCTAAAACTATTCAAAAATATATTAAGTTAGGCATAGTGGAGCACCTGTGCCACTGCACTCTAGTCTGGACAACATAGCAAGACCCCATTCTTAAAAATAATTTTTAACCTTTTGGCTCGCTGAGCACCATCACGGCTGTCAGCAGAACAAGTGCCTTCTGAAAGGTGGCAAAAAGGGAACCAAGAAAAAAGTGATTGATCCATTTTCTAAGAAAGATTGGTATGATGTGAAGGCACCTGCTATGTTCAATATAAGAAATATTGGGAAAACTCTAGTCACCAGGATTCAAGGAACCAAAATTGCATCTGATGGCCTCAAGGTTGTGTGTTTGAAGTGAGTCTTGCTGATCTGCAGAATGATGAAGTTGCATTTAGAAAATTCAAGCTGATTACTGAAGATGTCCAGGGCAAAAAACTGGCTGCCTGACTTCCATGGCATGGATCTCACTTGTGACAAAGTGTGTTCTATGGTTATAAAATGGCAGACTGTGATTGAAGCTCATGTTGATGTTAAGTCTACCGATGGTCATTTGCTTTGTCTGTTCTGTGTTGGTTTTACTAAAAAGCATAAGAATCAGATACAGAAGACTTCTTACACCCAGCACCAACAGGTTCACCAAATCCAGAAGAAAGTGATGGAAATCATGACCAGAGAGGTGCAGACGAATGACTGGAAAGAAGTCAATAAACTGATTCCAGACAGCATTGGAAGAGACACAGAAAAGCCGTGTCAATCTATTTATTCTCTCCATGATGTCTTTGTTAGAATAGTAAAAGTGCTAAAGAAATCCAAGTTTGAATCGGGAAAACCCATGGAACTTCATAGTGAAGGTCGTAGTTCTGAAAAAGCTACTGGGCATGAGACAAGTGCTAAAGTTGAATGAGCTGGTGGATATGAACCACCAGTCCAAGAATCTGTCTAAAATTCAGGCTTTTAATAATGACAAATAAAGAACCCTATTTGTGAAAAACAGTAATTTTTAGGTCTATTTTTAAAGTAGTACACAGGATCGGAAAAGGCACTATGCCAAGTTATATTAGCGGCAAAGGGGCAATCAGGAATACTGACTGTGTTGGTTCCTACAGTGTCGGGAAGCCCCCTTTTCTGAGCTTACTGAATGTGCTGGATGGTACTGAGGGTGCATGGCTGCCTCACAGCGCCCTCTGGCGATGATATTTGTTCCTATACCTCCTCGTGTGCTCGGGGAGCCTCAGGTTGTCAAATAGGTTTTGCAAAGAACATGGTGAGATTTGGGCTTTTAAATCTTCCCTTAAACTGAGCTGTTTTGCCGAAGGCCATTTTCCTGGGAAGTCATTCTGGCAAGGTTTACAACTCCTGGCAAACACCTCTCATTATTATTCCTTCCAGTTTCCTTAAACTTCCCCAACTGTTCAGTGTGCTGTTCTCTCTCTCCTTCTCCCTCTCCCTCGCTTCCTCTCAAGAGCTGGGGCAAACCTTGAGTGTCCTTAGGCCTCTGTGGGAGCTGACACCATGGCTGGGCAACACGAGGTATTCGGCAGGGGTTGCATGAATGCACAAGAAAGGCATAACTGATTTCAGGCCCCAGCGTCTTCCAATTGGATGAGATCCTAGATACAGTTTAGCTCCATCCCACATTTTGCGGATTACAAAAATGGGGGTTCATTCAAGACTTTTCATGTCAACAACGCTGATGCTGTCATGTGACAGTAAAGAAACCCTCAGTGACACCATGGGGACAGGCTCTGCATAAATTGACACACATATCCTTCCCAACATCCCTAGGTCAGACAGTCGCTCAGAATCCCCATTTTTCAGATGGAAAAAAATTGAGGATGGTGGGGCAGAGGAAGGGATAGTAAGGGGTTGGCAAGATCACGATGCCTGTAAGTGACAGAGGCCACATTCGAGCCCACAGCTTGAATGTTTCCAACACTGTCTGGGGCAATGAGGATTGAGAAAAACATCTCCCAGAAAATGAGACATACATGGCCATCTATGCTGCAGTAGTAGCAAGGATCTTTACCTCAAAGGCCAGGGGTTCAAGGGCAGCCTGAGCAATTTAGCAAGCCCTACCAAAAAAAAAAAAAAGAAAGAAAGAAAGAAAAAAATAGCCAGGTACGGTGGTACATGTCTGTAGCCCCACCTTCATGGGAGGCTGAGGCAGGAGGATTGCTTAAGCCCAGGAGTTTGAGGTTGCAGTGAGCTATAATTACTCATGCCCAGGCAACATAATGAGACCTTGTCTTTAAAAAACAAAAAGAAAAAGAAAACATTCTTCTGGCTGCTAAGTGGAGAATTACCCCGGGGGTAAGAATGAACCCCAGGTAGGCAGACCCAGGAGGACTCTTTAGCAGGGGTCTAGAGGACAAACAATAGCCCTGGTCCTGAGTTGCTGGCCATGCCTTTGAGGATGAAAAGAGGCAGAGTTCAAGGATGCTTTGCAGATCCAGGATCAGAAGCTCTGCAGGGAATCACAGGCCACTGCTCACCCTCTCTGGCATGCTAGTCACATCCATAGGAAGGCACTTTGGATACAGGAAACTAAGCATCCTTAATACACCCTTCCTTTATGAACACATTTCACAGTTTATTGCCCTTTGTTAAAATGGCGTATGAGCCCCCAGCTCTGACACCTCTTTGGGTTTTCACTTCTTTTCTGTGAAGCTTCAATGCACATAAAATTAAAATGTGTGTGTGTGTTTTGCTTGTTAATCTATCTTACATTACTTTAATTAACAGGCCCCAGGGTCAGGCATGGTAGCTCACGCCTATAATCCCAGCACTCTGGGAGGCCAGGTAGATTGCCTGAGCTCACAAATTCCAGACCAGCGTGAGCCAGAGTGAGACCCCCCCATCTCTAAAAATAGCTGGGCATTGTGGTGGTAGGCACCTGTAGTCCCAGCTACTTGGGAGGCTGAGACAAGAGAATCACTTGAGTCCAAGAGTTTGAGGTTGCTGTGAGCTACGATGCCACGGCACTCCATCAAAGGTGACAAGTGAGACTGTCTCAAAAAACAAACAAACAAACAAAAAACCGGCTCCAGTAACTGAACATAAAAGGGTAGAGAAAAATTATTTTTCCCTTTCTATAATTAGATTGTAAAATGGTGCAACTGATGTGGAAAATGATACAGCACTTCCTCAAAAAATTAAACACAGATTTACCATATGAGCCATCAAGTGCATTTCAGGATGTACACCCCAAAGAATTGAAAACTGGGTCTCAAAGAGATGTTTGTACATCCATGTTCATAGCAGCAGGCTGCACGGTAGCCAAAAGGTGGAAAAACCTAAGTGTCTGCCCAGGGGTGGACAGATGAACAAACTGTGTCACATGCACACAATAGAATCTTATTCAGCCTTAAAGAGGAAGCAAATTCTGACACATGCTAAAGTATAGGTGAACCTTGAGTCATTGTGTCAAGTAAATAAGTCAGACAGAAAAGGACAACGACTGTATGATTCCATTTATATAAAATGTCTAAAGTAGCCCAATTCATAGAGATAGAAAGTAGATCATGGGGGTAGAGCTTTAGTTTGGGAAGATGAGAAAGTTCTGGAAATGGATAGTGGTGATAGTTGCATAACATTATGAATGTATTTAAAACCACTGTCCTGTACACACAAAAATGGTGAAGACATCTGCTCGGCACCCGTAGCACAGTGGTTACAGTGCCAGCCACATACACTGTTTGAACCCTACCCGGGCCAGCTAAACAACAATGACAACTGCAACAAAAAAATAACTGGGCATTGTAGCAGGTGCCTGTAGTCCCAGCTACTTGGGAAGCTGAGGTAAAAGAATTGCTTAAGCCCAAGAGTTAGAGGTTGCTGTGAGCTGTGACACCATAGCACTCTACCGAGGGCGACATAGTGAGACTCTGTTTAAAAAAAAAAAAGAAGACTTTTTTTTGTATAATTAAGAGCAAAACAAAAACAATCAAAGGAAACACTATTCTGAGTAGACCATTAGAAAACTTAAAAAGTTTCTTCAAGTTCTAGGGCGAGGGCCAGTAAACAGTTAAGAATAATTTCTGTAGGCATGTGTTTGCAATGGACCAAATGATAGGAAACATCAAGTTTGAACCCTAAATTATGTTCAATTATTATTATATTTTGAATTACATCAATAAAAATATGCTGGAACTTTGTTTTCCCTCTTGTTACATGAGTATCTACATATTAATTTCTTCAATTTTACTTGAAATATTTCCAGTCTGGCCCTTTCTAGAGAAAAGTGCCAGCCCAGGGTGAGGAAACGGGCACTGCTTTGATAGTTTTTGTTCCAAAGTTATCCCAAGCTCAATTTAAAATTCTAGAAGCAGTGCTAGTAGAAAACCTACAGGTTTTGACAGGAAAGATGTGAGGATTAATGAAAACACAGCTCACAGCTCATGAGGAGAGTGGGTTTCTAGAAATAAGTGCAGAGTTTCCCCTCTTGGCCAGGCTATGTAGACTCACCCACGCCTCGGAGCTCCACGGCAGGACAGCAGAGCTGGAGGGCTTCACGGACCAGGCTGACCTCAGGAGAGTCCAGGTAAGGGACACACAGATCAAAGTCATCCAGCAGGTCCTCCATGCCTCCAGAGACACCCCGGCAAGAAATCCAGCTCATGTTGCCTGCAGAGGAAAAAGGGGGAAGGATGTGGGAAGTACACGTCTCCCTCTAGTTCGTCCCGGGAGGCAGAGAATCACCTGTCCAATTGATCTGGGGCTTCTAAAGCTCTGCAGTACTGACATTTGGGGCCAGATGATTCTCTGCAGGGTGCGTGTGTGAGGCACAACTGTGCATTGTAAGGTGTAGAGCAGCAAGACTGGCCTCCACCCACAAGATGACAGTAGCATCTCTGTCCACAAGGTGATAATCAAACATATCTGCAGAAATTTCCAAGCATCCCCTCAGAGTACACAGTCTCCCTTGGTTAAGAATCACAGGGATAGATAAATGGGTGAATAAATGAATGAAGGGACGGATGGATGGATGAATGGACAGATAGAAAAATGAATGGGTGGGTGGATAGATGGATGATTGGGCAGGTGGATGAATGGATGGATAGATGGATAAACAGATAAACAGTTGGATGGTTACATGGGTGGATGGATGGATGGATGGATAGAAAGATGGACGGATATATGGATGGATAGACAGACAGATACTTGAATAGATGAAAGGATCGATGGATGGATGACTGGATGGATGGAGGGATGGATAAATGGACAGATAGATGAATGGACAGACAGAAAAATGAATGGATGGACAGATAGATGGACAGGCAGATAGAGTCTCTCATGGAGAGGCAGGATTTCTCACCCTCTGCACTATCAATATCTAGGACCAGATCGTTCTCTGAGGTGGGGGTGCCCTGTGCACTGAGGAATGTTGAGCAGAGTCCCTGCCCTCCACTCATTAGATTTGAGCAGCACTTCCCTTGTGACAGGCAAAACTTGCTGCAGACACTGCCAAGTGTCTCTTGGTGCAGAATGGCCCCTGGTGAGAACTTCTGCCATCGAAGGAACCAGTTGCCCAATTGCCCTTTGCCTTCCCAGGCCACAGAAGGCAGGAGCATAGTGCTGACTCCCTCCAAGACGGGGGGCACCCCTTACCCAGCACTTCCTGTTTCAGCTCCTCTAGGCGGCCTGAGTGGAGCAGGTGATAGGGCAACTCCTTCAGCTTCCGCATGTTGGCGACCGTGTCTGAGAACCACAGGGGCTGAGGGGCCACCTGGCAGAGGGGAAGGGAGGCTGGAGCTTGCTTGGCCACAAGTTCACTCATTCCCTCCACAAACACTGGCCAGGCCCCCAACAGTGTGGGAAGGGACGGGGACTCAATGGCAACATACCCCTCCTACCCCATGGTCAGGTTGCGGGAGGAGACTTGGAGAAGGGGAACCCAAGGTGGGGGGAACATATCTCCTCTTGAAGAAATACGGAAGGTTTCCTGAAAGTGGGCCTGAATTATATAGGCCTATTATACAAGATTACAGTGGGAATAACCTTAGGAAGGTTGTAGGTGGCAGGTCACAGAGGTGAATATCAAGCTGGAGGTCCAGCTCAAGACAGAGGGCACTGAAGAGCTCTGGAAGGGTTAGAGGAGAGGCAGGACCAGGTGCAATTGTCAGAGTATTCCTCGGGAGGATGAACTGGAGCAAGAGGTCCCAAGGCTGGGAGACCAGAAAGGGACAGGCTATGTCCTGGGGAACAAAATGAGGCTGAGCCCGCAGGGGCTCTGGACACACAGGAGAGGGTCTATGGGTCATTGAAGAGAAGAAAGTTCCACCTCAGAAAAGAATAATGCCTGGTCCTGCCTCTGGCCTTCCCAATCCAGCAGGAGAGACAAAGAAAAAGGAAAAATTGAGGCTGGGCATGGTGGCTCATGCCCACCTCCTGCCTTGAGGCAGGAGGATCATTCGAGCTCAGGAGTTTGAGAGCAGCCTGAACAGAAGCGAGATTCCATCTCTACTAAAAAAAAAAAAGAAAAGAAACAAACAGAAAAACTAGCTGGGAATGCTGCAGTGCCTGTAGTCCCAGCTACTTGGCAGACTGAGGCAGGAGGATCACTTGAATCCAGGATTTTGAGGTTGCTGTGAGCTAGGCTGACACCACAAGACTCTAGCCTAGGCAACCAAGTGAGACTCTGTCTCAAAAACAAAACAAAACAAAACAAAATAAAAAACTGGTGCCCATAGCACAGTGGTGCTATGGTGCCAGCCACATACACTAAGGCTGGCGGGTTCAAACCCGGCCCAGGCCAGCTAAACAAGAATGACAATGCAACAAAAAAATAGCCAGGCATTGTGGTGGGCACCTGTAGTCCCAGCTCTTTGGGAGGCCGAGGCAAGAAAATTGCTTAAGCCCAGGAGTTGGAGGTTGCTGTGAGCTGTGACACCACAGCACTCTACTGAGGGTGACATAGTGAGACTCTATCTCAAAAAAAAAATTTAAAAAACTGAGCTATAACCAAAAAAGTAAAAGTGTAATTTCATAGTTATGATCATTGTACTATGGGCATATAAGACTTTAATATTTAGGGGGAGGGTCCACGGACACTCTGGGTACTTTATTTTGCAACTCTTTGGTGAATCTAAAATTATTTTGAAATTAAAAGTTTTTTAGGATCTCACTCTGTCACCCAGGTATGTAGTCCTCAGTAGCTGGGACTACAGGCGTGCACCCCA